TTTAGTTGCACTTGACATATTGTCCTTTTGCCACTAGAATGACTGAGGGGCAGGACTGAGGGGGCCGTAAGGGCTTACGGTTAGAGAGAGAGAGAGAGGGGTTCATGAAAATATGTATGAAACATTTGCCTCTGAGTGAAACATGAACAAACTAAAGAAGGCAACGTACTGTCCTTGTGAACACAGAGCTCAGAACAACAAACCCAGAGGGGGTTTGACTTCACTTTACTTTTAGGAAGTCATTGCTCCCAAAATCTATTTTGCTTGATTTATATTCAGAATGTTGCGTATTAAGCTTTTACACTGGACTTGTAGTTTGCACATTCTTGAACGCACCTTACTGCGTTGTTGACTGAGTTTTGTCTTGTGTCCACAGTATGGCAGAGGCCCCCTACACTTGGCCGCCTACAAAGGCCACACTGAGGTTGTGCGCCTCCTGCTCAAAGCCGGCTGTGACCTGGACATCCAAGACGACGTGAGTACATCCACCCGACTGTCAGCTGCTGTTTCCCGTGTTTTATCCACTTCTAGCTCAAACTTCAGTCCTCATTGGTGATTTCCACTGTAGAGCTCCTATTTTTGCTTTTTTTTAGATCCACATTACTTTTTCTATTCTAACACAAAGATAACGGTGGTCTAATGACCTCCAGTGGCCTTGAATGGGACTCTTTGGACTGCCCCCTTGTGGGTTTGCCCTCAGGATGCAAGCCCCCCACAGACAGTGATAACCAAGATCTCGGTCGTTGCCAAATTCCCTCTCTGTGGTCAATGAGCTCCGCAGATCGCTGCAGTACATCCTCCAGGACTGCAGGGGGCAGGAGTGCAGACTGAAGCAGGAGGAGGAGGAAGAGGGGATAAAGAAGAGGGCTGGGGAAGAGCCTGGAGGATCAGGGAGAGTGAAGGAGGTTAGCCAAACCTGATCCTACTGACCCCCAAACCTTCCCAAACTCCCACTGCTGCTGTGCTGGGTTCAGTTCTTATCTTCCCCTCTCCTCCTCCTCCTCCTCCTTCTGCTCCTTCTCCATCACTGCTTCTTCCTCCTGGGCTCTCATGTCACCCCTCACCTGCTGTCACTCATCACTAATCTGCTCGGTGTTCAGGGTTTCCTTCATGGCTGAGCATTCATGTGAGCGGGAGCTTTTCCTGGGACTGTTCACTCACTGCTTTCATTTTCTCAAACACACCACTGTTCACCTTTAACAGCAAACACAGCTGTGTGAGGACCTGCTGTGGTTTAACTGTGTGGGGACATATAAACATTATTACTGATAGACTCAGTGAAAACCCTGCACGACCGAGGGATACATGATGTTTGTTTAAAGTGTAAGTCTGTTATTTTTAAACCTGGACCCTGATTTTTTTTTTATTATTTTTTTTTTACATATATGGGGGTACAAATTGGGCACTTAGGCTCTGTTTAGAGAGTTTGTTTACACGATAACAGCGTTTTTGGTGCCTGAAAATGCAAAGTTTTGAAAACGGGTTCCAAAGTGCAAACTTTAGAAAACAGCACCATCTCCGTCATGATAAAAACTGTCAATATACAGTTCCTCTGAAAACAGAGAGAGAGACGTGAGAGACCCCTTTCTCCCTGCAGAAGAAATAGTGGTCTAAAGTATACCTGTGACACATCTTTTTTAAGGTGGAACAGTTACTTATTGTGGCTTTAAAATAACTGAGATATAACTAAGATTATTAACACTGATTTACAAAGTACATCCATCCATCTTTGTGTAATTTTAAAGATAGTTTGTGTTAGAATAAAACACAACCAGGTTGTTATTTCCGGTCTGTGTGACGCCTTGAAATGTTAGAGGTTGAAGCTCTGATGTAAAGTCCTGGTTTCATCTTTGTTAAGTTTGTTTAAGTCATTACCTCAAACTTCTGGGCCCGGCTGTTCCAAAGTAATCCAACATTATTTAAGCTGTCAGATAGGATTCAGTCTTTAAATTGGGTCGATCAGGTTCACCATTGGGTTGTTTAACAATAAAGGATTTGCCCTCAGAGAATATTTCACCACAAAGCTTCATTATGAAATGTTTAATTAGGACTATCAGCTTTAACGTGTAAAAATCATGATGTCATTAAGGGCAGAAATTAATGCTTTTTTTTTTTATCTCATGCCATTTTGACCATTTAGTCACCGTGAGCTTCTCTATGTAGTCTCAGTGATGTAAAAGAAAGACACTGCTGCATCTCTGAATGTCTCATTTCACTTTAACAAACCCCTCAGACAGCTCAGCTGACGAGTCCAAAGTAATATTCACCTCATGACATCACACATTGACCTTATGACATCACACATTGACCTTATGACATCACACATTTACCTTTTCAATCGTTCCTTTGAGCTGTTTGACATCAGTTATCCATCTGTAGCAAGTTCCTTTTTCCATAGTTAAGTTAATTTTGTAATCTACGAACCACCGGTAGTTCCTTATTTTCTTTCAAAATAAAAGTGTTTTCATACCCAAACAGGAAGTAAAGTACATTTAGCTTAAGATTGTAAAAAATAAAAGCACAAAAAAAACTGTTTTGAAATGCAAAATAAATACATTTCAAACATGCGATTGAAAATGCGATAAATTGTGATTAACTGTTGAAATTCAGAGATAAATTTAAAAATGGTATCATTTGACATGAAATATCTAATTGAAAGCAGCTGTAAGAATATGTGCATTTGGGTGAATTTTGGCACCCCCATGTGGACAGAGCATTTAGTGTAAAGTCCCCATAAAGGCTCTGGGGATCTGGATTTGGTAATCGTTAAAAGTCTGTACCTGGATCAGGGGATCATATCCACTTTAGAGCTGCTATATCTGATACTTTGTAGAAAAGAAGAAGGTCACCAAAACATCGGGTGATTCAAGGGAATCATTTTTTTGAAGAGGTGGTGAAAAAGATCAACTATATTCAGTTTGTTAATATTAATTTCATAATTGATATCAAAGCCCACTAAAATAATCCTCAGAGCTGCTGATATCTGAAGGGTTCTGGGAGTTGCAGTCATTATGTTTATGTTTTTTGTTGCATGTTGCTGCATTAATTTGCACTGGGTGTGGTTTACAAAGAATTACACTTTTTGCTGTGTTGTTGATTTTCTTCTCTCTAAAACATACAAAGTAGTCTTGTGGCCTAACCAAGCTGCTCCAGCTTAGTTTTGTCTGGCACCAGAACTACTTGATAAGGTTTACGTAAAGATCCTTGCTATAGTACACACAGTGCGTCAACACTGAATGTTGAGTTCACAGTGGACACGCAGTCTTCAGGTCGAAGGTTAAACAGCATCACCAAAGCGTGCACTGACAGACCCATCCAAACCCCGCCCACCAGGTTTAAACCCCGCCTCTACAGGGAGTCCTGAAGGTTTCTTATTTAATGTAAAGAGTTTATTGTGTGTGTGTGTGTGTGTGTGTGTGTGTGTGTGTGTGTGTGTGTGTGTGTGTGTGTGTGTGTGTGTGTGTGTGTGTGTGTGTGTGTGTGTGTGTGTACACAGGGCGAGCAGACGGCACTGCACAGGGCCGCCGTGGTCGGAAACAATGACATCATCAGCGCTCTCATCCAGGAAGGCTGTGCACTGGACCGACAAGACAAGGTGCAGATCAATACACACACACACACACACACACACACACACACACACACACACACACACACACACACACACACACACACACAGTGTAAGAGCTGTGTGAGAAACAGGGAGTTTAAAGCTTCAGGAAGTCTGCATTAAAACATCTCATAATGGCAGAGAAACGCTTGTGCCTGTAATCTGCTTAACCTCAGAGTGCTCGCAGTACAAAGAGAAACGGCCGACAGAACGGGGATTATAACCATGAACAACGTTTTTACTTGCATTCAATGTCAAAAGTCTTTACGTGCTGAATAAAGTGAAATTAAAAGTGTATTTTAGTGGACACTCAGAAATAATCCAGATGTAATAAATCCCTTTTCCACACGACTCCTTCACAGATTACAAATAATCACTCATCCTAACATCCTGTTATATGTTCAAATAAAACAAATCACGCAGTTAAATACACAATGATATCAACAAACAATGTCACTGAATAAAAAGAAGAATGTAGGATTGTCAGACTGTTTGTTGATATGAAAATGGACGGATTATCATGACCACAGGCCCTGGACACAAACTCGCTTTGGACCCCTACACATGCAAATATCCCACACACACACACACACTGCTTGTGCCCTCCCCACGCACAGAGTTTGTCTGTAGAATAACAGAGGCCAACCCACAACCACACACAGCACGTATTCCTTTGAAATTATGTTATTTATTATTTAATAGTTATTTAACCCTGTCTCGGATCTTAACAGAAAAAAAACAAAATGATGGAAAGTTAACTTTCTTATGTGCATTATGATCCTTGCACAATATTAAGAGGTAAAACACTCAACTCTCTCTCTCTCTCTCTCTCTCTCTCTCTCTCCCTCTCTCTCTCGTTGACCGTCCCTGAGAAACCACAAAAAGCAAGATGACTAAGAATACTAAGTCAAATATCTTAATAGCAAAAATACTTATACTACTAATACTACATATTAAAAAACATAATAATCTTAAAACCAAGACCATTCCATTGGCCAGGACCCTGCGCGCTGCCCCCGTGTGGTGATCCGCCTTTGGATATGAGGTCAGTTTAGTTTAGCTTGGCGCTGTAGTGACTCTTTGCCTTTGAAATAAAGTTTCCTTCAAATATGGATTTAAGTTTTCAGTTAAATTTGAAATCAAAGTCACAATATTCACCATTAACTAGTTGCTTATTAGCATGGTAATTAGTAGCATACTGGCTGCTTTTTAGTAATAATATTATTAACTTTATTTATATCGCACCTTTAAAAACACAGGTTTAAAAAGTGCTTCGACAAATAACAAAGGCAAAACCAATAACAAAGCAAACTAAACCAAAGACAGAAGAACATTAATAACAGCAAGAACATAACAAATGCAAAATACTAGAAATAATTAAATACAATCCAACAGGAAAGAACCCATAGTGCACGATACCCAACAGACATATTTAACCCGACTATCACAAGAACCATTATAAGAACCCAGGCAACACGAGCTGAGACCAAGAGGACCAAAGCTTTAAAAAGATGCAAGAAACTAAAAGAGCTAAAAGCAAATCAAAAGATAACAGCAATAAGAAGGTAAGAGCAGTAAAAGAAATAGAAACGAGTGATTTAATGATCAGAGTAATAGTAACAATAATAAGAAGTATATATACACATATAAAACATAAATTATAAAGTAGGCAAAGTAGGTAAGATAGAAAATTATCAAGTTAGAACAAAAGAGCGGTTAAGGGAAAAGAAACAGTTATACGAGATAAGAGCATAAATAAAAGGACAGTAAGAAGTAAAAGAAGATGAAATTGGTAAAGTTATGAATTAGTCCTTATTAAGCTCTTATTATTACCTTATTCTACATGACCAGAGTCTAATAGGATATTAACTAAGAGTTTGCCCTCAATACCATCTTAATCACTGCTTATTGGCAGTAAGTTAAGAAGTTGTTGAACATGAATTGTGTTTGCTCATGGTTCTTGTAAGGTGAAGTAAGCAAAAGCATATTAAGATTATAATTCATGTTCATCAACTTCCTATCTTACTACTTAGTAACACATGAGGGATGACCCTCTCTCCCACTAGGCCACATCCGCCCAGTTAGTGCAAAGTGTCTGGAGTTAAATATTCAAATAATACAGAATAGAAAGAATAGCGCAGTCAGAGAAAAGTAGATGTTATTTATTGATTATTAAAGAAAGAATAGAATGAATGAAATTCCATCATTGTTCAAGAGTTTCCTTCAAAAGTAAAAAGAGGAGGCGCATCACCGAGTGTTCACATGAAGTCCGGGCCGTCGGTCTGCCTGTTGTTCAGTTTTCATTCTTCTTTTTGTCAGGATGGAAACACAGCGCTCCATGAGGTGTCCTGGCACGGCTTCAGTCAGTCCGTCAAACTGCTGGTGAAGGCCGGAGCCAACGTTCACGCTAAAAACAAGGTCAGTCCAACACATTCTCACAACAACAACAACAACAACAACCAAGGCATGGATTGAACGTGTTTGACCAGGCCAAAACTGATCTTGATGAAAGACTCTGACTCTGTCCTGCATTTCTCTCCAGGCTGGAAACACGGCCCTCCACCTGGCGTGTCAGAACGGTCACGCTCAGAGCTCCAAAGTTCTCCTCCTTGGAGGCTCCAGACCCGACAGCAAGAACCACGTAAGTCTGCAGCAGGGTCGTCATTCTCTTAATTACTCACTAACACGAGGGAGGATTCATGTGATGCACCCAGCAGCTCCCTGTTGTACACTGGTGTCTGTCAGCCTGCCATTAACTGCATTATTCATTATTTATTTATTACAGCATGACGGGTTTGAGAGGTGAAAGATGTTCTCAGTAGTCGTGCTCTCATCAAGATCCATCTCCTGACTCTCTTGAGTTCAAAGTTTTCTTTTGTGTTTTTTCCTGGTCACAAACTTTCTGTTTAGGTTCTCTCTCGTGGCTCTCACTGAAGTGGTTTTCCTCCAGAGGAGTTATTGGATGAAAACGATGAGCTGATCTCTTTTGAAGCAATAATATGTACCTTTTCCACCTAAAATAGTCGCTTCAATGGTTGATTTAATAGCACGATAACTTTCAACAGTGTCTCTATCATGTCCACATAGCGGCCCAGCAGCCTGTTTACTGCAGTATGTAACTTTGGCAGCAGGTTGAGGTCATCTCCATCAAGAAGTTCGTACGGCTTTACACTACTATTTTCACACAGCCGCCTTCAGTTATATTAAGCAGTCAGTTAGCCTGTCTCTGTACTGTTTGATACGATTGGATACTGTGATGTTCAATCAAACTCTACATACAGTATCAGCCACCATTTGAATGAAGGTAATTCCTGGTTTCCTTGACCTTACTATATGATCAGACATTATGAAAACATGCTGTGTTGAAGTGCTGCTTCTCTGACAACAATGTAGCAGCCAGTATGTCCTCCTTCTAACTTTAGATTCTGGTCCTGAATGCTCTGGATTTGTTTGGACCAGAGAAGATAGCCGGTTTTAAGGCTCCCCCAACCGGCCGTTTTGGATGCCGCTTGCTTTGGCTGATATAAGAGTAGTTATCCCAACAGACCAACAGATGTTGTAGTGATGGAAGTGATCAAGAGAAGTGGTTCAGATAGAAGTGATTGTAACCGACCTAAAAAGCCTCTGCATGTTTCTAATAAGCTCCACGAGCAGAAACGTGCTCAAACTAGGATCAATATTGGAGATGTTTTTGAAAAATGGAGAGAGGTTAGAACACAGAAAGGTTTACAGACCGATGCAGAGCTGGCTAAACACTGAAGCTTCAATGTCTGAGACATGACAACCTGCATGCACATTGACTCTATGGAGGAGAGGGGAGCTTTCTTCGATGATTTGAATTTGGACTGCAGTACCCATTTAAAACGCTTGGTGTCAGAGTTACATTCTGCTCCTTTAACCTTGACCCTATTTAATTTTGACATATTTGGGATCTAAATGACTAACAAGTACAAATTAATGTCATATTGCTTCAATAATTCGCTTCAGCCTGCAGCAGTGAAACATGCTGTCATGGCTGTAAAGTCGTTGTGACTCCTTCACTGCAGATTCCAAGTAATTTAAAATAAATAACATGTTCCTGTAGTTTTCATTTAACCTGAAGAGACAGGAAACTTGAAGAGAAACAAACTCGTACCTTTACTTCTTCCTCTCTTGCTCACATTTCCGTTTCATCATCCAGGATGTCGTCCTGCTGTGTACCGAGCGCTCACACGGCGCAGGACTCTCTGAATTATGAAACACTGTACGGTACATTTGCACTTCAGACATAATGTGCAGCCTCATGGGGAAACTTGTGTTACTCAGCGAACACACAAACAGGAGGAGCTGGTTGTTGACTTGTTGTTGTTGTGGGTCTGAGCTGGAGCTTGAGTGCTGATTGTTGGAAATCACTGACGAGTCCTTCATGTTTAAATTAATGAACAAAAGTTACTTTAGTTAACCAGAAGATCTAAGGACGCAAAATCTTCACATTGTTAAAAGATGACAATAAGAAATGAACTTTGCTCACTATTGGTGTTAAATAATAAATGAAATCACATAAAAAGATTCAGAGCAGAAGCCAACATCCTGATATTTTGACTGCTGAGTAATCTCTACTTTATCCCCTGTATTTCAAAGTAACAACTTATTATTACATTTTAAATGTCACATATAATGTAAAATACACTTCACCATGTTTTTTTAACACTAATATGTGTCCCTAGTCTGTCTACAAACCCCCCAATTATGAGAAAAGTCCATCCTCTCCGTCTTTTTCCTGCTCCACTTTTCAGAAAATGTGTGCTCAAACAGGCCATTTGGAGATTTTCCCTTTGTGACATCACAAAGGGCAGTAACCCCTCCCCCAGGTGGGTGACAGGTGTTTGTTCTGCCCTCTGAGTCTGCCTTCTCACCGTAAACAATAGGACATGGAGCGAGAAATACTGAGACACCCAAGCCCTTCCAGAGAGGGGGCGTGGTCAGACACAGCTCATTTACATATTTAAAGGTACAGAAACAGCCTGTTCTGAGCAGGGCTGAAATAGAGGGGTTTATAGACATGGCGGCTGTGGCTCAGAGGTATTATAGAGTTGGTTGTCTCTCAACCAGAAGGTCAGGGGTTTGAGCCCCAGCTCCTGCTGGCACATAGCAGTGCACTGCAAAACACTTAGCCCCAAGTTGCTCCCACTGCTTCGTCGGCGCTGTATTAATGTGTATGAACAGTTTTGATGTCACTCTCGATTATGTTGTAATCATTTCTAAATCTCCATAGTGTAATTTTGATTATGATTCATCCTTTAAATTGTTTAATGTCGAACGGAAGTACAATGTCTTGTAAATTATCTAATCTTTACTTTTGTTCGGCCAGGTGGGGGACACATGTCTCCATGTCGCTGCTCGGTACAACCACCTGCCGATGATCCGCATCCTGCTGGGAGCGTTTTGCTCCGTTTCAGAGAAGAACCTGGTGAGTAACTGAAGGATGGGAAATTATCACCTATCACCATCTATAGTGAATACTCTAAAAGAGGACATATTATCCCCCTTTTTAATGTTTTGGTTTGGTTATCATGATAAATCAATGGCGAAAGAGAAAGTTTTTCTTTTTTATATTTAAATATTATACACGCTTTCATTTATTTAATAACACAGTACAGTTTATTGACTGATATATTTCTATTTTGCTCAGGTTGTTGAGATTCTAGAGATATTAAGCATTAAATTGGAAGTTTTTTTGTTTGCATGCTATAGATATTCATATATAGAGATGGTCGACGCTCATACCACAATTTCTTGTTCTGTGTGTGTGTGTGTGTGTGTGTGTGTGTGTGTGTGTGTGTGTGTGTGTGTGTGTGTGTGTGTGTGTGTGTGTGTGTGTGTGTGTGTGTGTGTGTGTGTGTGTGTGTTTGTGCGCGCTTGTTCAGGCAGGGGACACACCGCTCCACGTTGCAGCTGCTCTGAATCATAAGAAGACAGTACGTTTGCTGCTGGAGGCTGGAGCAGAGAGCCGCATCTGCAACAACGTGAGCGCCTGCAGACTCTCTCTAACATCTTTACAGCAAACTAAAGACGTGTTTGTGTTGTGTCTCACACTGTCCCTGCTGCTGATGTCCATTTACAATAAATGAAGGCAACATTATACAGAGAGGAGGTCGAGAGGAACTATAAGAAACTATATATAGATATATTGTTGTTACACGGCTCATGTTTATTAACGAGGCTTCTTTAATGGATGTAAACCAGGAGATGTTGCTTTATGTCTTTTGGTCATTGTAAAAAAGACCGCTCACACAAGTCTACAGGCTGAAAAGTTAAACCATCAATAATATCAAAGTCTCAAAAGAAAAATAAATACAGGGTAGTCTCTGAAAATGTTGGGTACAATCCAGATCCTGAATGCAACTATTGATGTAAAAAAAACAACTTGAGGCCGTGTAGGATGAAATAATAGACAGACAACAGTGAAATAAACATTAAGCTCATGAGCCACAAAAAACAAACAAATATACTACATATGATTTATAGACTTTTGGTCTTTGATAAATAAATGGGATCTCTGCCGAGATCTTGTTGACCTTGTTTATAAATCAAATCAAATTAAATAAAACTTTATTGTCATTTTGCAATGCAATGGTTGTCAAGAGCAGAATAAAGACATGTTTGACAGGTTATCTCTGATTAACTTAACCCCTTGTTCAACAATTATGACTAAATATTTATATTAAAAAACATCACAAATAAAATACACAATGGGTCAGAGAACATATTCTGGTCACTGTTGGGGTTGCAGCTTCTAGAATAAAGTGATAAGTTAAAGTTCAATTTAAAGTCAAATAATTATTACCGCCATTTCAAGTTATTTGAGGATTTTTTTTTATTTGGGGAAAAAAATATAAGTCTAAATTGTTCAGAGCTAGTTCAGACGCACACTACAGTCCACAATCCCCTGATAACACCAATAAGTGGTCTATTTAAGCTACAGATTTCCGGTCTCTCCCCCTCTTTGCTCTTTCATTGCCAGCTTTGACCTGCATCAGTACTGCACTCTTGTTTTCAACCCCAACAGCCCCCCCCCCCGCCCACATCCACCTGTAGGACTGGGAGTTTAAGATTTCATCCAATCATTACTCAAATGTCTGCATGTAAATTAAAACTGTAAGGAGTGGTGAGGTCAGAGCCTAGACGCCGAACACAAACTATGAAACAATTAAATATTTAAAAAGAAACTAACGTGATTTGTTTGACTGAACTGAATTTTTTAATAAAGGCTGGTCCACCCATCTGCATCTCCTGCAAACAAACTTTAACCACTATTTGAGGATTTATGATAATTCTATGATCTCTTTGACTGTGTGTGCGTGTGTTTCTGCAGGCAGCTCAGACAGCTCTGGACCAGGCTAGAGAGCACAACAACCCAGATGTTGCTCTTCTCCTCACTAAAGCCCCCCAGGTAAGATCACTAACTCTGCTTGTCATCACTACAGGCAGCATATAAAACAAAGGTTGTTCCAGTTGTGACTTCCTCCTGTGTGTGTGTGTTCAGGTGCAGAGTTTTCTGCGAGGCAGGAGTGTGAGGAAGAGGAGAGATAAGCTGAAGGCGGAGGGTCGAGCTCAGTCGGTGCCCAGAGACGAGATGCTGCCCTGCAAGGTAAAAATAAAATGTATCTGATCGTGTGACTGCAGATCATTCATACTTTGGTTAACTAGTGCAGCAACAAAACACTAACACAAAAACTCAAGCTAGAGTATTTCAAGGTCCACTAGAATATGATATCAAGGGATTAAATAAAACGTATAGTACTTGATGTTAGGTTCATGGTGGAAGAGGGAACTGGAGGGAATTGGTAATGCTTTTGAATTTTTAGAATTTTTAAAACCTACTGCAAATGTTGTTGTCCATGCATTTTTTTAAAATGTTGAGTACCCAAGCGTCTAAACATTTCCTGCTCTACCAAACCTTTCCTTCCTCTTGCTCCCTGCAGGACAGTGCGTCTGCTGCAGAGGACACGCAGAGCAGCGACCGCGCCGCCTGTAGACACGCAGAGGTGACCGAGTCAAACACCAGGCAGGGGAAGAGCAGGAAGCAGAAAGAAAAGGTGAATCCCTGAAGTCCCCATCAAAGAAACATTATCACATAAATGTTCTTTGGAGGGAAGAGCTCTTGTGAAAGTTCTGAGCAGGTGGAGTAGAGATGTGAGAGTGACTCACCTTTCCTGCTGTTGATGTTTCAGCCGTCGCTGTCCGACCCCCTCCGCCGCAGAGATACCCGGCACGGTGAAAGTTTTAACAAGAGGAAAGATAAACTGAGAGGAGCTGCATGCATCCCTCCTCACAACTACAAAGCCTACCAGCTGTACACACTGTACCGCAGCAAGGACGGAAAGATCATGCAGGTGAGATATGAGTCCTGGAATCTTTGTGTACTTTTTCAACCTTAGTTAACCTAATTAGTTTATGGTCCCAATTTTCTAGTTTTAAGCCTTCTTCAATACAACATGGTGTTCATTTAGTAAATGATAGTCCATTTATGAGTCCTAGCCATGTGCACTTCTGAACATTTCTAGATCATTTCTGGAGGACTGCCCATGAGTCCCATAAAAGAACAATGACGTAGTAGATGAAGCAACAAAGTCCGCTATACAAAGCTATAATGAGAATATTTTCCTTAAATCAATGCTATGTGGAGCTCAACATATTCAGTGTTGTGTTTCAGGCTCCTCTGAACGGCTGTCGCTGTGAACCTCTCATCAATAAACTGGAGAATCAGCTGGAGGCCACCAAGGAGGAGATGAAGACCGAGATCCACACAGTCCAAGACCTGATGAACAGCAAGATGGGACAGCTGGACCGCAAGAACAAGC